TGTGGGCACAGCCATCATTCTGCTGCCGCTCGGTTGACTTTGGTGGCGTATGTGTTGCCGGTGTACATGGCCTCAGAACCGAGCTCCATGGCTCCACAACAGGACGTGAATTAACACGGCTCTCCAAAGGTCACATTTCCTCTGCTTTCACTTAATTGTGCCACCTCATGGATGAGCATTAAATTTTCCCCCTTTAATTCCCACGTTCAGAGATGTAAAGAAAACATCTGCTGCCATTCGTTGAAGATCCCTGAAAACTAGGTATGTGTAATTTTTCACAAGAAACCAAAGACTGAAGGTATTTTTGTCATCCCCTCTCCTGTTACTAGGAAAGTAGTTAACTTAAGACCCTGTTTAACATTCCATTGAGCTGTGTCAAATGGTTCTTCCTCTTACTGTTATTATTTGGCCACATAACACTTTCTACCAACTTGCTCACGGCAGCTGTTTCAGGACAATGGGGAAAAAAGAAAAAGAATGGCATTTGGGGTGTCTTAATGGAAGCCTGGCAAACCAGAAAACTGCATTTGGAAAAGCTGCATCCGAGGGAACAGCAGCCTTCCTAAGGATAGTCGAGGTTTTGTGGGTTTTTTTGGTCTCAATTTCACTGAGAAATTCAGATCAACAGTAGAAGCTTCTGCTTATTCCCATGGACCACTACACATAAAAAATATGCACTTAACAATTTGTAACAAACTCAGCCTGTGCCATTTCACACGCATGCACAGCAGGTCAAGGACGAAGGTAACTGCCTGCAGAAGAAAACCCATGTGCCAAGAGAGCTGGGAGCTCTGCAAGCTCAGTCACCGAAAGTCCCGCCGCACCGTTGCTCAAAGAGCAACCTCCTCTTCTGCACATGGAACCAGGTTTCCAGGCAGGACTAGTTGGGATGGGGAGACTCCCTCTTCCCCCCTTCCAGTGGAAGACCCTCCTCTCACTGCCCAGGGCTGACACTGCGGCAGACAAGCAGCCTGCGTACCGCTGCGTGAGCTACAGCTCCTGCAGAGATCAGGGAAACAGCTGCATCACTTTCTGTATTTCCTAGCTGGTGTTCAAACTTAAGTTCCTTTTTATTTAGGAAGCACTCAGGGATGGTCTGAAGGAAAACGGAGATCATACCCTTAGGCCTCCTGCTGCGTTGCATCAGGTTGCCCTTTTCCCTTCCGCACAGACGCGCTTCACGCAGCACTGGATTTATTCGGTTGGAGTTGTTGAACCCAAGGCACACTGCACGCATCCCGCAGCACTGCGATGCTTAAGCAGAGTTACTCGGGGGTTAGGGAAAATGCCTAGACATAGCTTTGACATGTGCCTCTTATCCATCACTCTCTCTCACCCATTTTTCAGGTCTTGGGGGGATGGAAAGCCAATCGCAAGACAGAAGATGACAGCCTTGGCACACTGCCTTAAAGTGAAGATGGCGCAACGAGGAACGAGCATGCGCACTAACCTAACTGTGATTTCTGCCAAGTTTAATCACACAGGACGATGGTGAGAGTTTTTGCAGGTTTAGGCATGTTGGTTATCTAACTCTTGTTGTTTCATTCTCTTTTTGTTTTAACTGCTGGGGAAACCAGCAGTGGAGTGGGAAGAGGCAAGGGAAAAGAGGGACCAGACAAACTATTGTTCTGATGCCAAGCAGCAACGCTGCGAGCTCTGAGTACCTTGAAAGAGGAGTGAGCTTTCCATTTTGTAGTCCAGGTAAAACTATACCTGCTGTTAAACTATTTTCACCAGCACTTGTCCATAATTGCTAACCTTATCACGGCAGATGGACCGAGTGAGTAACCAGATGGGCCAGGGTTCGGTTTGTGTTTGCCTCCGCAGAACTTGGAGAATATAGGACTAGGGGAGAGAAGTAGCAGATTGAGGCCCACAGCAAGAATCATGAATGTGGTTAACTCCTACCCTAATAGTAGTCCTTAGAGTCCCTCAAACCATTCTTCTTTCATGACTGAATTGCTGTCATTTATGCTTCCTTAAAACCTATTCAAAACCCATGGTCTAGATAAGGAACAAATGCCTGTTTTTTATAAAGATGGACAAATCCTTTTATACAGTTACAGCTGCTTAAGGCAGAAAGTAAGACTCTTATTCCACAAGAAAGAGGAATGATTCAATTGCTAACAAGTAATCTACGTCATGAAATACGTAGTAATACTTGTAACTATGTACTGATCACACAGAGAAAGGTGTGCACAGAAACACCGTGCAGCAGTTGGGATGCTTTTATTTCTGGTACACCTCTAACATGGCTCTTGTCAGCCATGCTGCAATAGTTTTGTCTGCATAGCACCAAGCTCACCAGGCAAACAACTCTGCAGGAGGAATCATTATGGTCTGTGAAGCTAGTGAAAGCCTGCTTTCCCTGAATGGTTTGGATTCACAGTTACTTCATATGATGGAAGGTAACAGGATCAAGAAGGTGGTGAGGCACTGGAACAGGTTGCCCAGAGAAGCTGTGGATGCCCCATCCCTGGAAGTGTTCAAGGCCAGGCTGGATGAGGCTTTGAGCAACCTGGTCTAGTGGAAGGTGTCCCTGCCCATGGCAGGGGGGTTGGAACTAGATGATCTTTAAGGTCCCTTCCAACCCAAACCATTTTAGGATTCTCTGGGTCTATGACAGGGTTAAACACCGCTCTCAAACACGCTTGTGTTTATAGCAAGTACAATACTATTTGTTATTTGCAATTCAGTATCATCTAAAAGCAGTAACAGATCTGTCACAGAGGGCTTGAGTAACAGAGCAGTGACAGGAGCCACCAGAACAAGCTCCCCAAATTTCACACAAGTGCCCAACCACCGCCGGGCACTCACAATCACAGTGTCACCCTAGCTGCCCAAACAAATGCCAGGCTCGTGTGCACAAAACAGACATGTTCGAAGACACAGATATACGTGACCAACTAGGTTGTCTCAGAACATTGCAATTTAGTAAGATAATACATGAAAAACCCTGGTAACTCTTCAGTTGTGCGTAGAAGTTTCACTGCCCGGGAGACGGGGCGTGAGTCCCTGTCACACCCCACTATTTCAAAGGCAGCACTGTGGGGCACCTGGAGCTCCCATGATTCTTCCTTAGAAAATACCCATTAGTAACTAATATTTGGTGGTGGGAGAACGCTTGTGTAGCTGACGTCTGTGAGTGAGATTTCACAACCAGTTTAAGCCAGTCGAACACTGATGCTGCCAAAGGGATGTGGGAGACAGAAATGGCCCTTCTTACAGCACCATCTGCTTATGAGGGTCAGGTGTTGCATCAAAGCCTTTGCTTCATCTATAAAATATGGGTAAAACGTACTACATTGCAGAGGGGTGTGAGGCTTAATTTAAAAACGAAGAAGAGCTCTGGGTTACCTGGTATAGGAAGTTAAGTGCAAGGTTCTGTCAGTTGAAAATGCAACCTGCTAATAACTGTCAGAATGGCATAAATGGCAAATAAAAAGTGTGCTGGAAGGACGTACTCTACATTCCTCACTAGTCCATCAACGTGCTCTGCTGCAGCGATAAAACCCATGTGATGCTCAGTTCCCCAGAAAGTATATTCTCCTCAAACACAGCTTGGCTGCCATGAATTAGGCTCCTGGAACAAAAAAGATCCTCTCTTCAGGACTCTCTACTGCTACCACAGCCTGCAGAAAGACAGGAGTGGAAAGATGAACCAGGCCAAAAGATTTATCTACAAAAGGCTTTGACAAAAAGCTTTTTCTCAAACATGACAGCTTTACACAATGCAATAAAGTGAATCCCTCACCCCTCGCTACTACAACATCAGCCTTCTTGACAGAGGTTCTTGTGGGCAGTTTCAGCAGAGGACAAGAGTCAGCAGGACATGGAAATGAAATGTGTATCCCAGCACAGGCTGAGGCATACTGGAAGTACAGTCTCTACGGCCACTAAACCCATTCTGTGGTTAAAAAGATACTCTCCAGTCTTCAACCAGTATCCATCCACGTCTTTTAACTGAGCATTAAAACAGATCCAATGTCAATATCCAGTACACATCTATCCTAGACTCTAGGACAGCTTCATCAGACAAACACAAGAATGCAAAGGTGTAAGTATAGAGCCTTCTGCTTCAACAGCGTGACTGGACAGTGCTCCCTCCCTAGCAGAAAGAAATAAGCACAGTAGAGGTTACGGGTTCTTCTCGTGTCTGTCGTGCTCTGCCAGTTGCACGAATCAGGTGCTGGAAAGGTCCAACATGAAGCAGAATATGATTTAAATGAACTGTACACACAACCACGTGCACTGTCTAAAAAAAGAAAAATAGTATTAAAATTTTGGTTTCATTTCTCCCTTTCCCACTTCCCTTTCTCAGTTGACAGTCAACCAGCTGGTTAACTGCTCCGAATGTGCACACTCATTCCCACGTCTAACCAGTGCTCCCAGCGGAGCACAGTGCAGCCATATGCTACACCACCACTTTTTAATATTGAACCACAGCACGCTGCCACTTCCGTAAGCTGGTGGCTGTGCTCTGAGTGACAGTGCCTGCAGAAGCTCAGCAGAGGCAATTGCTTCCCAGAGAAGCAAGATAAAGCTGATAGCTTCTTTCCACAGAATGCAGAAGGCAAAGGGAGCTGTTGCCTCCACAGAGACAAAATGACCATGATGGATGATGTCTTGTTACGTGGTTCCTGTGGAGCGTGACCGTGCTTTACTCCGTTGTTTTGCTCCTCCTATGAATGCTTCACATAGATCTTAAAAGGAAAGATAAATATCTGACAACACATGTCAAACTTTTAACCTAAAGAGAACTTTCAGGAAGCTTTTTACAAACATGTACAAAGCGTTCAGGTTTTTTCCTAACCAAACAACCGAAAGCACCCCAGTGCAACAGCCACCTTAGCCAAGCCAGATGGTAAAAAGATGATGAAGTGGAACAGCATACAGCAAGCTGACATTTTCCACAAGGTAACTCCCCTTCCCTATTTAAAAATGCCCCCAATTATTTCTTAAATAGCATGACCTTTTAAAACAAAATCATGGACAATTTTAATTAAAAAACATAATTTGTAAATTATTTTGGAATATACCTTAAAATATTTTTTCACCATCACTGAAAGTCTTCAGTAAAGTGAGCCGTCTGCTCCAACTTTTATGCAAGATAATATCATTAACTACTGAGGAAGAAAAAAACCCACACACAGCCAAGCCTTCACTTCACAGTGCTATTTAGTTAAAGATGAATTACTTGACCTTTTGGCAATGTACAATGGAACAGAAGTCAAAGATACACAAGTTCTTCCATTTTCTAAACAAATTCAGCCCCATACCTATAAGAAATTACCTTTGTGTTAGACTAGAGCACACTTTTTGGAACAAAATGTTTAAGCTAATAAAGCTTCATGGAAGCCTCGAAGAGGGCCGATAAATCGTCTTCCGTTTGGGGGCGTGGTGATAGTTTAGTCACTCTCTCCTGCAAGATTAAAGAAAAACTGGATTACAGAAGGCTGCCAATAAAATTAATCAAACAGTATCTGAATGATGTGCCTTTGTACTAATGTCCTCCACAGAGAATAACGAGGTTTTGCAAATACGTAATCACGTAATTAAGGCTGAAGTCTCATCAACTGTACAGTACTTGCAAGAATATATTAGTTTAAATTCCCTATAATTAAATACACAGAAACAAGATTAAAATGCAGTTCAGTTGCAAAGTCAAGTAGTTCAAACACGGGTCGTGTCAGTCACAGATGTCAGTACACTGGTGGGTAGTATCCTGGGAATACAGCACATTTTTAAATTATTTTGCCAGTACTGGAACAAGGAGATCAAGTTTTAGGGACCAAGATTTTCAAAATACAACATCTCTCAAAGCCCAGGAACTGCCATAGATGGGGGGCATAATCAGTGCTTGCAACTCAGACTCCAAAAAAGAGACACAGCAAAGGACTGCAGTGAAACTGCTTAATAAACAGCTGGATGCCTTGGAATCAGAAAACAAAATCGTTGTGGTTGGCCTGCATTTGGACGTTGATTCAACAGAATTTTTGGGTGCTGAAGTCACACTGACTGCCATGAAGCCCAGGTGTATGTTTCACTGTGCTGCCTGACAGAATAACCACAAAGGCAGGGATGGCAATGCAGGAAAGCCCCTTGCTGAGGAGGATGAGGAGCTGTATCAGTATTCAGTTACCGCAGAAACACTCAGCTGAAAGGGCCTAACAATACTGTACTCGAGCTGACGGTGAATAGTACTTTTATGCTTTCAACAATCAATAACTTTTAACATTTATTGCAAGACTGGAGAGAGTTACAAACATCTGCAAATACACAGGCAGGCCTACCCTAGGAATGCATTATCTTTAAATGAATGCGGTGTATTTTGGCAGGAGGGAGTTTCTCCTGCTACAACCTGTTTCAGCATCTCCCTTAGGGAAGAGGCTGCCCCAGTAAAAGCTCTAAATTCCCCACCCCTTTTCACGTGAGGCAGCAGATGTCCTTTGCTGGGGCCTTGCCTCACGCACCAAGTGGGATGCCGGGGAAGGGGCTCCTCCAGCCCCCTGCCTCGGGGGGAGGCTGGGCTCAGATGCTCACAGAGCACACACCGCTGCCGCAGTGTGATGCTACAGCCACCCCACTTCCTTCTCAACCCACGGGGCTGCAATTTGTGGACAGGCTGGATGTGGTTACACAGCAAGAGAGGCCACCGCACTGTGAACTTAACATGTGCAATATTGGTCTAGAACGGTGAGGAAGTCAGCCGTGAGATAGGCTCAGCTCGTAATCATGATCAGCCTGGTTAGCACGGCTTGTGATGAATCTGAAAAGTGCAGCTTTGTGTGCATAACTTTATCTACACAAGAAATCTTGCTGGTGCAGCGGCAGCAATCAGATGATACCTCTTGCCCTATCCCTGACTGGCGCTCCAACCAAAGAGTCCTCTATGCAGTTTTGAAAACAAATTGAAAATTCAAACAGCACTAGGGCAAAAGCATGTTGCTTTTTCCAGACTCCCAATGTGCAAAATATAACAACTCAGTGCTCACGTACTCAGTAAATTCATCACGCTTGTATTAGGACACTCTGGGCCAAATCACAGCTTTGCTGCTGTGATTTGCAGCTGTGATCCAGGCCGGGCTGGATGAGGCTTTGAGCAACCTGGTCTAGTGGAAGGTGTCACTGCCCATGGCAGGGGGGTTGGAACTGGATGATCTTTAAAGGTCGCTTCCAACCTAAACCATTCCGTGATTCTATGATCTGTAAAGTCACACGAAATGACAGGAGACGATCACCCTGACAGACTGTAGCACTTCCCAGCTCTATTGACAGAGGGCTGCAAGCGGATTCTCCTATATGCCTCGACACTGAGGCACCAGCACTCCCTCTGAACAAGCCTGCTGATGTTTGCTGGTGTCCAGATGACAAGGCCCCAGCTAACCCAGACTGACTCCAGGCTACACCACCAGTGCATGTTGGTATAGTGCCAAAAATAAGCAACTCATGCCTCATTGGTGGTTCATCCCCATTGTAGCTGCCCCTGGAATGCCTGCAGGGGATGGGTGAGCTAGAGCGCAGCCCTTGCACCGCCTCTCATTTTCAGCTGTCCCCATATCCCCCCAAACACCATCGCAGGGCCAGCCACCTTAGATGCTGGGATGGCATCTTCTTTGCTAGACTCACTGCTGTCTGTAAATAGCATCAATTTCAACAGACTTAGGAAAATAAAACTCTCTTTTAACTTCAAGTATAAATGTCTATCCGAGTAGAGTTCCCACCCTGAATCCAGCAGTTACAGTTGATAATTTTGCTTTCCTGCAGCCTGCACTTCACCCCGCACAGTTATTGGTGCAGTGGTGACAGCACTTACACTGCCTTGCCAACAGGAACGGGCCAGTGCCGTATTCCAAAGCAAAGCTACTGCAAGATGAAAAGAAAAAATATACCCATGATTAAACTGTGCAGACTACCTCAGCGGGTAATAATGGACTATTAAGGAACGCTAATACATTTTCATCATGCTACATCTCATATACAAAAATGAAGTTTGAGAAACAATTAGGTCCTCTCATTTTACCCAGCACAATTAATCATCCATGCCGTGAGATGACAGTGAATGAATTAAAAGTCAATTTGAGCTAAACTAACAAACAAAAAACCCTTTAACATCTTTTGGTGAAGAACCTTCCTCCTCCCCCAGCTATGCAAAACCATGCTTTTAATGAGATGTTGTGCTTGTGATGACTCAAACTCAATTGTTTTAAAGGACCATATTTATGAAAACAAACCTCCAAAATGCCCCAGAAAAACTTATATCCATAACCTATTTAATGGGTGCTCAGAGACCTTAGTTTTCTTCCTGGCTTTGCTACTGCTCTGTTGTGTGCGATCCTAAATAGCTGCACCTTTGTGTCATTTTCTGAGGTATAAAATAGGAATATTAATACTTTCCCTCTGTTACAAGTTGCTCCAAGATTTATGAATGAGAAAAACTAGGCATGGTAAGAGGTACTGCTGTAGAAACCTTTCAGCCTACAGAATTCTCATTTTCTCGGTAGTGTTTATTTCCCTTACCACTGGGTGGAAATAAATCCTAAGTAGACAGAAGAGTCCATATCATATGAATCAGAGTGTCTTTTTACAAGGAAGATACTGGATTTTGCTTTTGGAATGGTGTGTTGTTTTTTGCAGTGTCTTTATGAGCACTGAAACAATAAAAGGTATTACAAGTTTAATGTGTATCATCCCAGGGGACCTTATTTCAAATTCTGATGGGGGTCAACGGAACAAAAAAGCCATCTGGGTAGAAAAGTGCAACTTGTCAGTATGGAAAAGTTTAATGCAAAGTCAGCTTGATTGTTCTTACCAGATACCACTTGGTATTACTGCTTTACCTATAACTCATTCTGCATACATAATTAACAGAGATAGTTATGAAAAAGCAGTGTCTTCTACAAAGATCAAAGGTCTATGAAAAACATCCTCTTTTTCAAAAATGCGACATTTAAAAAACCCCAAAACCAAACATCTAGCCATTCTTCCTGAATCCATGTGATGAACAGACTGCAACATGCACTCCATCTAGCTGAAAAGAAAAACCTAAACAGTGCAGAGATACAACACACAGTTGGCTGTCCATAATTTTCTTAATTTTAATTGTTTTCCTGTAGGACTAGAAATAAGATTTGCTTGAAAAGAAACACTTCTGTTTTTTCAAAAATCTGTTCTACTTCACTGGATGAAAAGTTTTGCTTTCTGTCTTACCTGGGGCAGAGTGCCTTTGACTAATGCAGGGATGTCTGCTTTAGAATAACCAAGTGCAGCTAAGCCATCATCAACATTCAGATCAAATAGGAATTTCCGGAGAGTGTCTGCCAAAATAAACCCCGCATCTTTGATTCTGGCAGTGCGGATGTCAGCTCCTAAAATAAGATATAATGCCTTGACTGTAGGGTGGAGAGCGCGGAGGAAGCCCGTTCTGGACTTAATTTAATCATAATATCAGCTGAATACATATCCATACATAACAGTCACTGCTCTAAAAGCAACATGAGGTAAAAAGAGGAATCAGTCTTCATTTTACAGTTGGAATAGTTTGTAAAAAATGAAATAAAACAACATCGGGAGAAGCAGGTAACTGCTGCCAGAAAGAATAACTGCCACATGAGGTTAACTTCCTTTCCCTCCGTGCTTACAGGGAGAAGCACTTTTCAGTCTGACTAACTGCTGGGAGGAAAGAAGCTAAGGCACGAACGTCAATGGTATTTATTTTTCTGGATGGTGTGCCAGATGCTAACTTTAAGGCCTTGAGTTTGCTGACATCTAGAGGACATGGAAACCACTGACCGTTCAAGCACACATGCAGGCTGCGAAAGAGAGACGGCAGGGCAGTGTTCAGGGGGTTAAGGAAATCTTAAACTTAATGGTGTTTGAATAGGTGCTGACTTGTGTAGGGTAACACAGAACTGAGGAGGGGGAACTGGTGTCTTTGAAACATCTACTGAATGGTAACGAAAGCATCAATACAGAACGAAAGATTACCAACATTTCTTATGGAATAGCTTGCTTCCCTTTCTTCAATCCGTGGTCAGCGTGTGTGCAAAAGTAAGGATAAAACCATGTGCAGACAGAAGACACCGGGTTGCCCATATGACTTCTTTTCAAAGTAAGCCGAGCTAAATCTGTTCTCTGTGTAACCTCAATGATGTTACACCAGAACTATGTTAGGTCCGAGTGCCATAGTGAGGGATGAGTAAGAGCACAACATAGCTACGGGAAAAATATTTTCTGTGATCGTCACACAGTTCAGTGCAACATTCAAAAGGGGGTTAAGTGAACAGGAGACCAACAAGCTCATTTGAGGAGCTCAGATATTAGCATAGTAAGACTGCCTGTGCTGTAGTAGGTAATATCTGGGAGGAATTGATAAATAAGGTATACCAGAGTCTTCCATGAAGTCTTACGTTACTGGGATTATGCCATGCAGTCTGAGTTTATCCTGGGTTTTACTGTAGAGCAATAATTGGGACATAAATCCAGTATCTTCAACTAGTAAAGTAAAAGGGAAATGGAGGAATGGAAAAAAATGATAGTAAATGTGAAGGGCAGTTTTACAATATTTCTTCAGTTCTAGTACTTTCTTTTTCCTCAAACTAAAGGATACATCAGTCTTAGATTGCACTTAGAAAATTTCTGGCCACACACACACCTATTTCAACTGTTTAAGAATTCACCCAGGGAGGTATTAAGCTTTTTCTGGCTGTACCCAAATTCACAGCTGTACATACACACAACATTAATCTGCTTCATGTCAAAAAATACCTTCTTAGTCATTGCATTTGGCAACTTGACAGATTTGAATCAGCTACTGTAGTCAGTTGGAATCTGGACTGGAATCAGAAGTAAATATCCCAGGTGGGAATTAACAAATTGAATTCCACGTGATGTTTTCAGCAGTCTCTTTACAGCAAGGCAGACAATAATGTAGCTTAAATTTCTACTGAGAAAGTTAACAGAGCTTTCAGAAACAATTTTGTACCAGTTCTTACCACAAAAGCTAAAGGAACTGCTTTTCAACCCCTTGTTTTAAAATCAAGGAACCAAAGTTCAAATTCTCTGATATCCTGGGCTGGCCAGTTATCCAGAAACATTCTCTTATTCTACTCTGAATTGTGTATTATTGCTTCCCTTGCTTCAATCAGTGGTCAGGATGTGTGCAAAAGTGATAAAACCATGTCCAGACAGAAGACACCGGGTTGCCCATATTACTTCTACATGTATTGCTACAGACATTTTGTAGTTTAGTATATGATTCCAACTAGGTTTGTGTTCTGGTTTTGACAATAAGCAGGATTGCATACTATGGACTAAAGCTGAACAAACCTCACAGCCCACATTTATAAAATAAACACATTTTTCCCCCAGTGTAGTTTTTCTGACCATGTTGTTTTACCACCTCTTTAAAATACTATATTTTCATTGTCTATATAAAAGTTCCACTCCCTCTTGAAAACCACAATGCTTTCACATTACTTACACAAGGAAGTCACACATGTGACTGGATCGCTGTGACTGGCATGCAGAAGGCTGACCACACAAGGGACTGAACACAAATTGTCCAAATACCGGGAGAGTTGCCCTAACCACCTTCTCTCTGCGCTCTACACTGTTGCACACATGACTGTGATATTGCTCTCTAGTGAGCATGGGTATTAGGAGCAGTTTAGTTACAGAGTCTAGTGCAGACAAAAAAGTCTGACCTTAGATATAAATAAATTAGCCCACTGCAGAGCTGTGCTGTCACAGGTAGACTGCTAACAGCTCCAAGGTTACATCACTGACAGCTGGTTTATTACACACAGTCATGCTGGGGATGCAGTGAAGAGGTATCCTTTCTCAAAGACACCTTCTGGTGACGGGCTGCACAGACAACAAAGCACTGTATGAAAAGGTAACCTTTAAATGAGCTGTCAGCTTGCAGCATCTACGTCTATTCCGCTAAGAAGCGGAAAAGGCCACTTGGTTCATTAACCCACTTCTCAGCTATCACAGATGTGTCCACAGAATAGCTACGCTGTGCTTTCCCTTGACATCGGCCACTGAGAAATTCCAACACCTACAAACAAGCTTAGGCCTACATCAGAAAGACTGAAACCCACAGCTGTGTGCCATGGAAAAAGAGCAGGAGTGATTCAGAACATGACTCTGTCCTAATTCATTGCCACAGCAGGGAATTTGTCAGGCAAATGCTTTCTTTAGCTAACAGATGCACCTGAGTACTGGTTTGGTTTACAGTATTTACTCTAAAGAATCTGCTCTTCATTAGGCACCAAGAGAGATGTCAATCACAGCTACTCTCTCCTGATTCGTAACAGATCTGCAGTTACCTTCAGCTGTCCAGGTTTCTAGCAAAGAAGAAGATTTTTCCAGCTTGCTTCTCTAACTACATCATCCTATATAAAAATTTAGCATTACTCTACCTAAGTTTACGTGTAACTCAGTCTCAAGAATCTTGTTTTTTAAACTTAAAAACCCTGCAACAGCCAACTACAATTGCTTGCAGTTTGTTTGGTTGGTTTTCTCTCAGATATTTTTGAAAAAAATTCTATTTGTATGAGTAAGTTGTATCCACTGAGATTCCTACCTAGTATCTCTGCAGCTTCCAAGTGTCGCTCAGGATGTATCTGTGCCGTGAAAGCAAACACTGCTGGGGATGTCAACACCACAGAAAGGCCATGTGGCTGTGGGGAAAAAAAAAAAAACAAACCCAAAATCAGAAAAAGAGAATAAAATCACATCGACAGGACACGTACTTTCAACTTCAGTGTGCTTTAAGGCTTAGAAATGTGAGATAACAGAGAACTGAAATGTATAATACAAACATAAACCAAGTTTTACCACTAAAGAGTGATCCACATTATAATCCTTTGGTTTATAAGTTTTCACCAAACCAGAAATAGGGTAAGACATTCCATGGCTGGAACAGAGAGTAGAGAGAAAGTGGTTAGGGCAGCTCTCCCGGTATTTGGAAAATTTGTGTTCAGCGACTTGTGCGGTCAGTCTTCTGTATGCAAGTCTCTTACTTAGGCACAGATACACAGAAAGTTTTTAGGTACACATATGGTATGGATATTAAGTACAAAACAACCCTCACCCCTCTGCACCTCAGGGACCTAGCTGTGAAAACCAGCACCTCCTTACTTTGTGAGCATGAAGTTAGATGCTCTCAAAGATGCTCAGTTACTAAAGGCATAAGGATATCCCTACCTGATCACACTGCCTGAGCAAAACAAACATTAATTTTAAAGTATAATTAAAGAGTGGATTTGCTCAAACAAAAGGAATGAAAGGAAGGTCTCTGTAGAGAATGACTTCTAATAACTTCTCCACACAATTCAGATTGAGGCTTTGTTTCTCTGAGATTTTCACCCATATGAACCTACACTGCCTTGCAATCCTAATTACAGCTCATTTCAGCTTGCTGAACGCCTACTCCCTAGACAAACTTACAGACAATTGCATCAGTTCAGGCATGGCACAAGATTACCTCATTGCTGTCTCACTGCACAACAGCTGGCAGGAAATTCAACATTTTAAATGCCACTGATGGGGTGGTTTTTCCCTAGCTATGTTTTTTACTATCAAGGAAGGTAAAGGTGGCCATGTTCTGTAGTTTTCATGTGATTTGCGTACCACAGGCCAGAATACACAATCCTCACACACATAAACGCCAAGAGCCCATCAATTTCTCAAAACACGCTTCCCTTGCATCACAGCCCAGGCTACAATGTCTCACCAGATATTCAGCAACAAAGGCAGCAATGTCTTCGACAACCTGAAACAAACACTACCTAGAAGCTGATCTCGGATAGGGGTAACATTTTTCTGTACTCACCAGAGATGAACGCCAGCATTGCCAAAGCCAATACCAGCAAAAGCACTTGCTAGGTGCATGTTGGCTCTTGCTTCACGGTCTTCGGGGTTTCTGATGGCTCTGTGTACCACGGAGACAATGGTACCAGTGAATTCACAAACGGATCAGAAATTCAAGATGGAGAAGGGAGAGGGCTTCTTTATGGACAGATATACAAAAACGTCTAATATAAGCTGAGATAAAAATGCTGGAAATAGGATCAATTCACACTTCAGGCACAGGACAATCCTGCTCTGGATCAGCAAGTAGATCAAACTGGTTCAGTGAAGGACAAGATTCCTTTACTTTTCTAAAAACTGAGTAAATAGAATGAATTTAGCCATATTCACCTCAGTGGTGGTTAAAAAAAAAATTCTGCTTAGAAGCATTGGAAATCCTATGTACAGCTCCAAGACCACTGCAGCTTTCTCACCATCTCATCTCCAGAGAAGGGCCACGAAGATGCTCAGAGGGCTGGAGCACCTCTCCTGTGATGAAAGGCTGTGAGAATCGGGCTTGTTCAGCCTGGAGAAGAGGAGGCTTCGGGGAGACCTTATAGCACCTTCCAGTACCTGAAGGGACCTACAAGGAAGCTGGGGGGGACTTTTTACAAGGGCCCATAGTAACAGGACAAGGGGTAATGGGTTTAAATTGAAAGTGGGGAGGTTTAGATTAGGTACCAGGAAGAAGTTCTTCACAGAGAGGGTGGTGAGGCACTGGAACAGGTTGCCCAGAGAAACTGTGGATGCCCCATCCCTGGAAGTGTTCAAGGCCAGGCTGGATGAGGTTTTGAGCAACCTGGTCTAGTGGAAGGTGTCCCTGCCCATGGCAGGGGGGGTGGAACTAGATGGTCTTTAAGGTCCCTTCCAACCCAAACCATTCTGTGATTCTATGATTAGGTGTTGGACCCCATCACCTGTGTGGACAGGGTTCCTTGCCTTCCTACGCACCTGACTGCTTGTGTAGTTAGACAATGGAGAAAAAAAGTCTCCCGAATAGATTCCACAGGAACAATAAACAACTACTTTGATTAGCTAGGTACCGTAAAAAGTCTTTTACAAAAAAAAAACCCACATTGATATTTTATAGAAGTGCACATGGTATACAAAAGCTCTACACAGGCTAAAACTTTACTGGTAGGGATCAAAACCAACTCCTAGTTAAGTCAAAAATGTGATTCAAAAGTCTTCTAAGTATGAGCTAGTTTACAGTAAATGCATGATTTTGCACATTTCTGAGTATATCTGGTTACCTGCTTGATGGGTGTATCAAGTGTCTTAATTTACACTGAAAGTCACAGAAATTACACCAGCAGTATTTCATTCACTGTTGCATATTTCCCATATATGGTCACAGAAAGAGGATTCTTGAAAAAAATACGTGAATGCTGCTCCCATATTAACTGAGCAGCTTGAAATACCTTTACGTGAGGACTTATAAAATAAATTCACAGAGGCATTAAAAAGCTACCTCCTCAAGACAACATAGTAACCCTAATTTTATTTTCAATTTTATTTGAAAAAAATGTTGCTTTATTAAAGAAAAATCCAGGGTAGAAAATGAAGATTTAAGTAATAGTTTGCCTTATTTCAGCCTAAAATTCTATGCATCCCTTTTTGGGCACTGAAGACTGAACATACTGCAAGGGGTTGGCTGCTAACCCTATTACCTTTTCAAATATTTAGCCACAATGCGCAGAGCATGAAGAGCCCAGACATCACTGATGGGGTTGCTGCCCTGGTAAGCTGGTCGGTTGATTGGATTTGAAGGGCAGGGACTGCGCATGTTGTACGGATTTTGACTCTAAAGCATGGCTAAAAGAAAGATTAAAAATCAAATTATTTAAGTGGGAGAGCTCCATTTTACTGCCTTGCCTTCCTGTGAATGCACATTCTTCTTATTTACTTCTGGTGATTAACAATTGCCAAAATTAGAAATACAATCTCATAAACAACTGGGAGAATGCTGGGTGGGCACCTCCCCAGCACTTGGCTCTCCAACAAACATACAGAGGCAATCCAAACAGTCACAATCTATCAGCTCACACCACGCTGTTCCATTACAGGCACTGCAGTTCAGGATACTTTGCCGAACTTGAGATATCACACAATTTCATTATATGTCCATTACTTTAATATACACAGCACTCAGAAGCAAAGCAAACTCTGGCCCTCCAAACAGAAACTTCCATGAATTTTGTGCAGTTAACAGCTGTGGGTTTAAGATGAGGAAAATTTTGTGCCAAGTGAAAAGGAAGTCATGACAGAGGTTCCAAAGATGGAATTTTAGATAGTTGGGCTAAGACCTGCCAGTATCCCACAAGCCTTCATAAATTTTTGTTGACACACGGTGGCTTTTATTAGAAAATCCTTGTTCTCCATTCCCTGTCATGTCTTCAGACATGCTAAACGCTGTCACAGTTATGATTAATCACCTGCATGAACTCTTAAAAAGGGACACCTGTAGTCTCTTCCCTGACAACAACCATCCTGAAAGCAAACAGTTTCTTCAGTGCACTGGAAAAAAACATTAAAATTTCTGCAAATGAGTGACTTGTTTCCATACATTCTGAGGGAGGTAGTGAAATTCAGTAAGAGGAAAGTAGAACAGAGACCACCTTAACAGGAACAGGAAAGGGAGAAAAAAAGATCATCACCCTTTTCTGCTCCTAAAAATCTATTTTTTTCTACAATCATCACAGTAAAAGTACAAAACTGTAATAAATTCGAGTAGCAGCCTAACACAGAAAACTCACCAAAGCACATCAAAGCCACTGTTGGCCACAATTCGTTCAGGCATAGACAGTGTGTGTAAAGGATCAATGATACCTAATGTTGGCTTAATGGCTCTTGAAGCAATACCTGAAATATGTAAGTGAGGAAAACGAGTTAAAAGATCTTTTTGCAACAAAATAGGACAAGCTTATTGTTAAAAACATAACAATAATGAGGGGAAATTATTTGAAACTGTGAAAATAAAAGCAAAGGGAGAGAAGGGAGAGTAAGAATGTAAGTCTTCTGATGATGAAGTCCCTGTAAGAGTTACATGATTTGAGACTTCTGCCTGAAGACAGTTATACCAGACAATGTTCCCTCTCCATTTGTAACCTTCCCTGAGCAGCCTATACTTTCAAAACGTCTGTGCTGAATGGCACCTGCAACGGTACTCTGAGATGTGTATCTTCTGTGAACAATCAGAGGGCAAGACTGGTTTGTGTCTACAATCAATTGCTATTGCCAACTGCTGTCTCCAGCATCTGTAATAACCGTGCCTTCGAATTTTGGTTAAGGGGGCACAGATGTAGCTTTGAGACAGACAGACAGACAGAGACAGATTTACTGACTATATATAGACTAGAAAACTCTGAGCTATGACTCTACATAGACTGGAAAACTCTAAGTCTCAGCACACCCATTTGTGCCCCAAGTACTGTAGACTGTGTGACATATAAAATCCACATGTTTAGAAGCGAAACCCCAGAACAGCTACAAAGCTTAAGATGACATTTTAGCCTTGATCTTTATTTGCCAGGGACATCTTTATTTCCCAGGGATGTCTTTATTTCCCAGGGATGAAAAGGCCAAAGGAAGACAGTGCCCCCTCCCTTGCACAGAATCTCAGGCCTGAGGTTTCAAAACTCAGGAAAAGGAACATTTGGTTGCAATTACACAACAAAGAAACAAAAAGTCTTAAAAGCAGAAAGAAAAATACAGAGGAAATAAGGAACAGTTGGTTGACCCTGAATATAAGTAGAAATTTCCTTTGCAATTAACATTTTCTGCCATTTAAGGACTTGAAAGATTTTAGTTTCCTGTTTTGCCTTCCAACTATAATCCACTGTAGTACATAGGTATTTCATTATGTTAATATGCTATAAATTTAATGCAAGGAGGAAAGCTTTCAGCTCTTCAAATTTGCCTGTGGCAGTTGAATCAAACAAAATGACACCTGAAATGACATGCAGTATCCTTTTTCCTTTCAAGGCAGGGAAATAATGAAGACATTGGAAAAGCAATTATCTTGAATAGCAGACAGGAAAAAAACACAAAACCTCACCAGTTTTTACTTTTAGTTCTTTGAAGTCAAAAATGGCAACACCAGTGGTTTCACTTCCAGTTCCAGCTGTTGTAGGAACTTAAAAGGAAGAATAGGGATAACCACAAGTAATAAGTAATACATAATATTGCAAAATAAATAAATATAGCCACAATGGATACAACACCAAAAATACAAGACCGACAAAATCTTGGAGGTATCCCTGATCCAAAGCCTAGAGGTCAAACAGAAACTGCCACCTTGATCTCTTTTCTCAGCAAAAGGCATCCAACTCACCTAAACAAGACAAACTAATGACAAAAACTGTGATTTTATTTCCACTGACGTAAATAGCAAAATTGCTGCTGAACACAACTAGAGGAGAAGTTAACCCAAAGGCAGCTGAAACAGTCACAGTAAACTGATTTCAGTAGAAGTATCATACAGAGTATAGAATGACTCCCCTTCTCACCCCCTCCCCTCCAGCTTTACCTGCAATAAGCGGCTTGAGGGGCACAGTGACAGGCTTCCCTTTCCCAATAGGAGCATTAACATAATCCAAGAAGTCTGATGTAGGACTGGATGCATACAGGTTGGCAGCTTTACAGGTGTCTATCACAGACCCACCTCCAACAGCAACATATGCATCAAACTCTCCCTTTTTAGCGAATTTAATGGCGTCCAGGAAACTTGGAAAACAAGAAAAGCTTTCCAATTAGTCAAGGGAAAAACGGCACACAGAGAAACTAACCATTAAGACCAGTGGACAGGTCAGAAGGAGGTGTTTAAACAGCCACATGGCATGCTGTAAAAGCATGTAAAAGCACTACTTTGAGAAGCGCGCTGTTAGAAGTACTACCTGTGGTCTGTTGGTTCCACCCGGACATTATCATACATCTGGAAGTTTATACCATATTTTGCCAAGGAATTCAATACTGCATTTACAGGAGGGAGTTGGGAGAGGTTTTTATCTGTCATCAAACACACTCTTCTAGCACCAAGATTCTGCAGGTCCTATAGTAACGATGAAATTAAAAACCAAACAACTGGTATAAAATCATATGCTGAAATATTTCAATACTAACCCAAATCAACAGAACCATTTAATAATAATAAAACTCCTCACTTAAAAATAGTAGGCTATTGCAACCCTAACTTTTGCTAAATTAATTGTCACAATAGCTACACAATACAGGCAATTCTAAATAATCCTAATGCTCTTTAAAAACAGAAGTTCTGCCTAACTTAATTTACTCTCTGACTATTAATTTACAAATTTGCAAATTAAAAAAGGGAACTGTTAATGGTATAAATGCCAAGAAGACAGGCGAAAAACTGATAAATGAAAAAAACCCAGTGATAAAGGCAAACCGAACAATATACTTAGGTGAGTCATCCCATGCTGCTGAAACAAAACTTCTACACTTTCACGGTGCAAACCCCGAGCTGAACAAATATCCACCTGATTTAATGGAAAGTCTGATTCATTTTAATGAGCACTAGAGGAGATGAAAGTGATCTTGAGAAAACCCTCGAGTCACCAGGATTCAAAATTTTTTGAATTAAATTCCCTGTCAGAAAAAAAAAATATTGCTGCATAATCCTGGCAAATCATCAATGATCTAATTATCCACTAAACTGCATTTCATGTACTCACACCACAGTAACATTGATCTAACATGCTTCTGTTCTTTACCCAACAGTATTTTCAGACCTTTTTTACACTGGTATATATGACCACACATACTGCGAAGCAGTGGAGAATCAGACACCCCACATATCAGCCTTCCCTTATAAAATGGATTGATAGCACTGGCCACCCTTTAGAAAATAACTTTTAGCCAGTGATGGACTTACGCTACGGAAGCTTACCATGCCAATCTCTTTTGTAACTCCTTCTCCATATCGGATGTTCGAAACGGCCATCTACAAAAAAAGAGAACTTTTTTTTTTTCAAATGGAGAAATGGCTTCTATTCCCAAGCAGTCAAAAGTTTACTAATGTAAATATTTGTTAAATGCCATATTTGGTGGTATACAAAATACTACTTTTAAATCAAATACATTTTATTATTAAATCTACCTCAAATGCATAGTCTGTACTTCCCCGGGTAGGCTGTTCAGGGACTGGAATGGAAATGAAACAGTAAAATTAGGGCACAAAAAGTTACACCAATCTATATCTCAATACTACAGCTGGCAGATTCCATTGCTTTGAAAAGCACTAATACATTTGCTCAGGCCATGCTGGCTTGTCTGGGTAACAGATTTCATCCCTGGTTGTTAGTGAGATTAAATGATCCAAGTACTTAATTTGATACATATAATTCAGCAAAACAGGAGTGGGTTCTTTTTCTTCTTTCAAAAATTAATTCTCTCCTAGAAAAACTGAGTAAGTTAGCAGGAAGTCTGCATGAGAACTTGTTTGCAGTCTGCAAAAACCAGGACAGCACATAGTAAGTACAACTGAGTATCTGCAGAGCTTACTGCCTGCTACACATAGATTGAGAGGTGCTACAAATGTGTAGGGGCTACATGGTAACCTCCAGAACAAGACAACCCCATGAGACATCCTCCATATGAACCTGGATGGAGAACATCTTTTGTGTGTGTGAGAGCAACACTCACAGGTGTTTACACTTCTTTTTACTTCTGCCCAGTCTGAACTTGCAGGAGAAACTGCACTGCTTGCTCGAAAATGAAGAAACTGCATGCATTGCTAATAATAAACAGAGTTTTAATAAGAATTGATGTATTGCTATCAACTTCATTTAGTAGAAGAGAGAAGATATTTATAAGGATGGTATTTCAGCCACATCCTCCCTCTGCTGTGTCATTCTTGCATAAATTTCCACAAAACTCTCCATTTCTTGCATATCTTGATTTTGACACAAAGTGAAACAAACTGCATCAACTGAAACAGCCCATTCTTCTCCAAGAAAAGATCAGATGAGGCATTCTGCTCTTCCCGCTGAAGTCATGCCTCCTGTCTGCTTTATTAATTGAAAATATGCAATCTGGATTCAGATCCAATGAGTGAAGCCACGATAATGAGTCTTACAGAGCCTCTGGGGTGCACTGAAGCACTGACCCACAACAGTAACAGATAGAAGTATTAAAATCCTTTATGCACTTCCTATTCAAGCCCAGGCCAGCTGCTATCAGCTCTTTCATTGCCATCTCTTGCCAGGCTGTACATGTTTGACCCCTCCTGGAGCCTGAGTCTGCTGTACTCTCAGTCATTAATTTGACAGGCTAAGAACATGTCCAAGCCATTTACTCTCCTGCTTTCTGATAGTATAATAGGTGCCCTGCTGTTATATTATTGAGCCAAACTTAACTTTCAGGAAGAATTTTACTGAGTTCAAAGTTGCATTATTTACTAGAACACTGTCAAGAAACACAATGGACTTTTTTTTCTTTCTGCCACAGTCACTGTTACATCAATTCCCACTATTCAGAGACTTACTGAACTGATATCATCTCACCACATTATAGACTCAACTGCTGCTGAAAACTTACAAAGAGCGTTCTTAACCAAGACTTCTGTTTAACCAAGGGCTTAGTTTGAATTGACCGAGTAGGTCATCAAGCAGACATACAGAAGAATGAGATTGTATTTCTCAGCTGCGCTATTGTCTTCATGTATGATGGTCATGGGCTAAACAAATATCAGAACATGTATTGGCTTTTCCATATGTAAAATGGTAACTCTTTAAAAAATGTTATAAGTAAAGCACATGAAAACAAGCCACTCAGAACGAAGCATTGCTGAAATTACAGCAAAAAATATTATTCTTTGTAGAAAACATATCTACCATATCTTCTAGGTACCTCTGGAGTATTCAACATGGAACATGTGGGACGTAGTAGAAGACTAAGAACATCTGGAGATTGATCAGCACACAGACAGCTATTCCCATGGACTCCCTACAGTCAATGCAGGCAGAATTTCCTCCCAGGGTGACTCGCTCCCTCGGCGCAGCTCACCTGTTCTTACCCTACAACCCTAGCCTAAGTGGGCTGCGTTCGTGGGACCGACTGTATAAAAAGCATATGGAGATTCCATCCCCCAAGCCAAAGCAGACCTTTGCGAATAGCTCCTTTTTATTCATACCGGTTCCTGTTTCTTTTCGAATGGAACAGATGCCTATTTTTTCCCCTCGAAAGCAGATCTGAAGTTGAGATGGCTCAGGTAATAACAGCAGTAGTAGCAGCCGTAGCAAATTTCTCATCAACCTGCCCCCTGGCAAGGGGAGGGAGGGACAGGATGTGGTGGCTTCCGTGGAAACTATAGATCGCTCCAACAACCACCACCATCACTGTACAGCTGCAAAATAACAGACTGCCTACCTTATCCTTTATACTGTTCTCCTTCCTACCTGTTGCCTGCGCCCTCTGCCCAGGTTACACGGAGATGTACAACTCTACAGGGCCATGGTCTCCGGCGGAATTATTTTGGAGACACAAACGAAGTCTTACCTTGGGAATAAGTGTGGCCATGGCTCGGGCACCGACATCTAGTGTAAAGGTAACCAAAAAAAGGGCATGGTTAAAAGCAGAGAAACAATTCTCGCC